TATACATTTAATTTATAATACAATCATAATATTATTTTTACGTGCATCGCACGGGCCACGCACTAGTTAGTATTATGAACACAATTTATCCACTATTATGTTATATTTAGGAAAGCATTTTAAAATGTAATAAATAAAAATTTTGTTCTGCATTTTATTATTACTATACATGTTTTATGAATATTTTTTTAATTTAATTAACTTATAATTCATTCACGTTAATTTTAACATTAGGCCGCACTAGGCGCGAATGACGTACTAGTTATCAGTTTCAAATGAATCAATGTGAATTGATATCATGGCGGTCAATTCGGAGGCAAAACCAACTTTGGACCAAGTTACAAATAAATGGAGTTAACTGACAACTATAGATGTCAAATATATATGTAACGTAAGTTCTTCTTCGGTGCAACGTTGACTAAAAATAAATTTCAAGCAAGAACCAGTGATTCAACATTTAATTGCATTAATTACGTTTGATTTGCAATGCTTAACATGGACTTTAAAGAATAATTTAATTGCAAAAACTATTTTGGTTTACTTTTTGAGACAGACTTTTTTTGGATCTCTTTACTTGTTTTTCTGCCAATGTCTTTTGTTGGACTGACACATAATAGTTAAATGAATATATTTTTTCCAAATACTTATAATTTTAGTAATTTTGTAATACTTTAAAAATAATATAAATAAAATTATGACATTTAATAATTAATGAAAAAATAATTTCTTACTCTTTTTTCAGCTAATTTTTGAAAAGAAACCATTTCATATTGCATTAATTAAATAGTTGTATTTTATTTATTTATTTGATTAAATAATAATTAGAACAAATTAACAAACTAATCTAAAATATCTCCAACAAATCGCGAGTCGAAACGAGATGCCTATATCAAATCAAACTTTCAGAAAGCATTCAACAAAACAAACCCAAGAGTATGATATAAGAGTAGTACGTGATAAAGAACAAAAGCTCGGAAAATCTTTATCGTCAAAACTCCTCTTTGTCCATCATCTTCAACAAATTAACGTGCTGCTCCTTGACCAAACACCTGCTGCGCTCAATCTAATGCCCCCACGCTGCTTTTGTTTCAAAATAAAAAAGTATGCTCCTCTGTTCTAATCTCCACGCCAATACCCTCGGGACTCGTCTATCCTCTTTTTTCCTTAATTCCTTTGCCAAAAATCTCCTCCCTTCTTATGTCTTTTTTTCATTAAAACACCTAATAACAATAATATTGTACTTCAAATAAAACACCTAATATAAATAATCACATGTACAAAAAAAAAATTAGAAAAGCAAATTAAATAAATTTAACAAAAACGTATTCAACAAAGTTGTCCCGGGCTGGAGCCCGATTTGGTTCTTTTCGAGCTTCGGGCCTCAAAATTCGCGATGGACCAGCTGAGGACGACAGTTGAGGGCGCGAATGCCGAGAATGAGTTTGATATCAAATAGATAGATGGATAGATAGAGAGAGTTTTGGGATGCATCCAAGGAAGTTTTTAGGTAGATGGTGTAGGTTTTTTTAGGTAGGTGTAGTACGTAGTTTTGTTCATGGTTTGTTGTCATATTTTGTTTTAGATAGTTTTTGGATGATTGGATCAACTAGTGCAGTTTTGTTTATCTATACTTATATAATAAGAATTAACCTTTTTCAAAATTAGTAGGTCAATTCTTAGTCAACATCCTGTCTGCATTAAATGTTTACTAAAATTAGTAACTTTTATGTCCTTTTTCACACTTTTTTTTATGTCCTTTTCACACTAGATTATATAAATGAACGGATATTATCTCACCTTTCATTAATCTCACCTATAATTCATGTGAATTGATTGATTGCCTTTAACTTTTCAAAACGTGTGCTATCCATTGTTTATTACTATTATTATTATAGTATGCACGTAATCAGTTGATTAAATAAATTATATATTATTATTATTATACTCACCGCGTGACAGTTAATTAAAATATATCTATACTTATATTAAAAGGTATACCATTACCAGATTTAATATAAAGAAAAGTCAACAACATTTATTGCATTATTATTTCCGTATTATACAATTTACACTTATATAAAAAGAGATTCTATTTACTATATTTACTATCCAGAAAAATCAACTGCATTAAATGTCATTACTATTTTGGTATTATAATATTTTATTTATTTGTTTATTTTATTTTAAAAAGGTAAGTATAATAAAAAGATTTTAATAATAAAAAAAATCAAATACCAAATAAAAATGTACACTTTGACTTATTTGATTATATTTGGTATTTGATTATACCAAATATATTCCTATTTAGTACATACATTAAATACTTACTAAAGTATTTGTTTGTTTTATTTGTCAAAGTTAAGTATAGATTTGTTTATATTATCAAATCATAAAAAAAATATTAAATCCATATTGTAAAAAAAAAAAAATCATATAATTTTATAACAATTCTACTACACTATTTAACAATATTTTTTTTATTATATAATAAAATAATAATTAAATATTATATGGTGAACAACAATAAGTAAAACTGTTACTTTCTCTTATATCAAGGGATAAATTTATATGCTAAAATTAAATTTTTATTAGTATAAATGTTTTAGTGAGATAATATATTAATTATTTTACAAGCTAGCCCTAACATGCTCATATTTAATGTTTTAAAAGATGTAGAAAAAAAACTTATAATAACTCTATTGTTTTTTAGACTTAAACGTTGATTAAAAGAGGTAAAAATTCCTAATTTTTTAGACTTAAACGTTGATTAACACCATAGATTGAGAGTTTATATTTAGTAAAATTCCTAATTGTAATAAAAAAATTAATTTTGCTATATTTTAGAATATCTTTAAATTCATTATATATAAAAAAAAAAAAACTACAATGAAAAAAGCAAGTCAGCTATATATCGATTTGTTGTACTCCTCAAATCACATTCACAATTTGGCTACAAGGAAAGGAAACTCATTGATTAAAATATTATTTTGTCAGTAGTCTTAATGTACAAGAGACTTTAAGACTCCATTTGAATATTATACAACTTTTATTAAACATTGTATAATTTTCTTGCGTATTATAAATTTTTATTGAATATTGCATCTTATAATATAATATTCTCTAAATAAATATATCTCGTGCTTTGCACGGGTCACGTAGTATATATATTCCGTACATCTTTCTTTATTCATGTATAAAATTATAAGCCTGGATAAATAGCCTTAAAAATGTACATCCCGTGCATCGCACGGGCTCTGTACTAGTTATTATAGAAACTTTAAGTATCTTTTCAAATTACATGCATCTCCATAATTTTATGGCAAATATCTAACAATGTCCACCTTTTAAAGGTTGAACTCGTCATGTTTAATATTAGTGTGAGGATGTCAATATTAATGGTTAAATTTAAAATATTTCAAATGAGTTTATAATTGATTTTCTTATTAAATAAAAAGTATAAAATAAAAAGGAGAAGTAATACTAGAATTCATAAATTTACCTAAAAAATTTAGATTTTATACACGGTTTATGAAGATACGCATGATAAATAAATATTACAATTATAGATTTATCTAATGACGAAGCAGTAACTTGTAGTTTCGCATTACCTTGTCTCTAAGTTAGGCATGATAAATAAATATTAGAATTCATAGATGTTAGGCATGATAAATAAATATTAGAATTTATAGATTTATTTAATGGGTGCACGTTGTTTACCATGTATAATTTTAAACCCTAAAAGGAGTGTAAAAAGTTGTTTGTTAAAAAAAAAACAATGGTTATAAAAGTATTATAAAATATTAATTGATTATGTCCAATTTAAAAAAAAAAAATTGTTTGTTCAATAAAAAAAACAATGATTATAAAAATATTATGAAAATATTAGTTGAACATATATCATCGTGTCTCTATATCGCAATAAAAAAGCAAACAATACATAAGAAATTAATTTCTAATTTTATCTCGATTGTTCCTTCAAAACATTTCCTATATACATTCAATCCATAAGAAATTAATTTCTAATTTTATCTCGATTGTTTTCCTTCAAAACATTTCCTATATAATGTATACTTAGCAATAAAAACGAAAACAACTCACCAAGTGATTATCTCAATGCTTTTTCATTCAGAGTAATTCTAACTCCCCAACATAGCAAGAACCATATAATTAATAAGTGACAGGATTGTTTTCTGGAATCTACATGCACTCTCTTACTTTCTTATCATACAATTTTATTTTATTTTTATAGAAATTGC